AACACTTTAGACCTAAAACTCCCTTGGTTCCTTGCATGATCAATTTACATGCGAACCGGACTAGATGATTAATACACGAGTCAATAGTAAAGAGGTGTCAGGTATGTTTCCTCCAACATAGACTAGCGATATCGTACAGATTGACCAAAAAAGGCGAAAATCGGCCTCAAAGCAAGGCCCCTACCCATGGTTGCTGAATTGGTGTATATGATAACACAGATTTACGCTTTGTTGGACTCCAGAGAGCACGGAGAGCATGGTTCAACATCACTTTATACCTCATTTTGGTCTTTTGGATCGATTTCGCGATTGCCATTCCAAGGTTTGCATGATGCAATTTTCATCTAATGCGCAGCTACATTTGCATTGCTATAGTTTCGCGAGTAAAACAGATACTATATAGTTGTTTGGGAATCTATAACACAACAACGATACCACGTTTTCCATTTCTCCTTGCCTTTGGATGCCACAAAACAGCACCTACACAAACTCGGATTTGATCTTGAATACATTGCTTGCCAATGTTGTCGTCGTCTCCAAAAGCTCTCCTCCAGCCGTCAGGGACTCTTCCGCACACCAAATAGTTGTAGTAATCATGCCATTCCTTCTTCACCACAGCTTGGTTTGTGGCAACTCGGACTAACTCTTGTGGGAGAAGACACATGCTTGGAGATGTTGAATTGCAAATCGGGGCAATATCTTGTTGCCGAGTGCGATGGGAGACTTTGTAGCGGTCTCCATCCTTCAGCTTTCGGGGCCCTGTCTTTCTCTCGTCCTGAAGAGCTGTGCGAGTCATTTGATAGTCGCTGTGGAGGCCAAGAGAGAAACGCTGGACAATTTTATCCACCTTTCCTTCTGTGGAAACCATACTCTTGAGGTGATTGCTTATTGTTTGTGCTCGAGGGTGTGTTGCTTCAAAGCTTTCCTCGTTGACCAAACCGATAGTCTTATGCACTTCAGCAAACGTTGTCAAATGGGCAATCAAAGTGTGTAGTTTGTTGAAAACATTGTCTTTTCCAGGTATCATGGAGGTCCACTCTCTCCCATATTCAATCGCACATTGCTTGAAGCGGCTGATTTCTTCTTCCGATAGTTTGGATTGTCGCTTCATAGTCCTTGACAGCTCCAATAGGAGAGCAGCAAGGCGGCGCCACGTTGCCATGACTGCTCTTACCTCCGATTGCAGATTATGCGTCTCTTCCTGAATGTAAGCTTTTTCCACTCGCTTGGCAATGATGTCTTGTTGCGAAAGGACTTTGATTCCATTGGCGTTGGTTAATTCCAGCCCTGAATGCTCGACATTGAACCTGACGCCACCGTCAACACAAATAGATTGGTAAAACAAATAACTTGCCTCGCCTTCTGGTTTTGAACCTGAGTCTTTGATGAACTTATTTCCAGATAAAGAGAGCTCGGAAGCAGCCTTGAGAACGGCTGACCATGCAGCCATTCCGCTCTTGACAGCGTGCTGCTCTCTCTCTGTCTGCAGGTTAGTTGCTCGCTCAACCTGAGATGGTACGTTCGGCCATTTTGTTGCTGCCTGCAGCTGCTTGTAGATTGCTCGATCTCTAATGTGAAGTTCTTTTAACATCTCTTTGATTTCTGTAGTGTTGCTGGCATCTTTCACAACAGCGTTCAATCCACAAAACCAAACAGACTTACGATCGATCTGCTCGAGCAGCCTAAACGTCCGCCTAGTGAGGTGTGCAGGTGAGTCATCATTCCTTGGCATACATGCATTGACCCTGCCGTGTTCTGAGAGGGTGGTGTTAGCAGCAGTGGACGGTGCACAACACTCTTTGCTTTGTCCTTGATACTATGCATTGACGCCGCCGAGGAGTCTGTTGAAACTTTCAATGCTCTTGCACCGGCGACCTCCTTGAATTTTTCATAGAGTTGATTGTTGTTGTTTTCTCCATCCCGAAGAGGGGGAGGAATGAGACCGTGGATGCAGTGGCCGAATTCATCACTAGATGCAACACAGATAGGGCATGGGTATTTGCTTGACGCCGTGCCTTGCCCTGAAACTGCAACGTTGAGCTTCAAATCGTCTGCAGTGAATGGTCTGCATCCGTAGCATTGGAGTTTGACTGAGGCAGTGGATGGGACAAAAAGCGCCGACGTGAAATGGAGCCGACCAACAAGCGTCCCGGCCCTTCGCTCCAATGACTGGTAAAGCAAGAGACCCGAGTACGTCGTTCCCTCCGATGAGTCCACATCTTCGTCTGTTGGATCCGCTAGCACAAGTCGCGCTGCCAGAGGGCAGCATCGCACTCTATCCAACGTCACAATCACTGGCCGTGTTCGAGCTCTTGCCTCTTCCGTGTTCACGAAGAGCTCTCGGTGATCAGCATCTGGCAATAGTCGACTGCAGTCATGGTGAATGGAGGAATCTTGCTTTTCATAGACAGAGTAGCCGCTGAATTCGATGAGCAAGCATTGCGCATCGATGAGTTCACTGCCACAACAGGAGGAGACAATGAGCATGTGAAATTTTCCATCAAGCAGGGATTGAAGAAAAGATTGAACAGGCTTGGTGGCGGGTTTTGAATTGTCATATATTGTCCTTTCGAGATTGCTGTAGGACTCTCTCGCATCTTCATAAAATGCTAAAGGGAAGCAGAATTGTGGAGCATTCCCATCTACTCTGTTGGCAATTCGCATCAAGCTGAGCGTCAAGCTTCCTCCTTTATCACATCCTTGAATAATCAAGACTTCAGCTTTGTGTGCTGACAATAGATCTGATTCTTGAAACTTTCCGGCAATCAAAGCACTACGAGTAAGACCTTCAACGACCACAGGAAGGTTGGAAACCCATGCATGAACACACGGCTTCATTTTCCCATCCCCATTCATCTCCAATGATATGACTTCAAAGCTCAGCTCCACATCAAGCGTACATTTTTCAAATTCGGAAATGCGACGACGCAACTGTCGCGGAAACAACAGCTTTCCAAGAATTGGAACAAAGTCATGAAGGGCATTCGCAAGTCTCTCAAGTCCTCGTGTCGATGTGGGGACATAGTCTCGTAGAGCCGCTGCTTGAACGATATTCAATACACAATCCTTGAGTGGCAAAACTGTCAAACGAAATTGCCTGCCGATTTTTGCCAAAATTGCAGGCATCATCCGCTGCAAGCCACCTCCAAAAAGGCGTTGAAGCAGCCCTGAAACCAAATTGGAATGCTTGTTGAGTTTCTTGTTGACTTGATTGGAGACACTCTTTGAAACCGTGAAGCGAGAGCTTGGCACATTCAAATATGTTCGTGCACCATGTCGCATCGATAGACGAACGTAGTCCTTGTTCTTTTGCTTTGAATGTAGAGCTTCCAGTGTGTTGAAGGCTAGTTGTTGCAGCTCTTGACTTGGATCCTTGGCCAGAATTTCATCTTCAAATCCGAGGCAAGCAACAGGATCGGTTTGGGTTGAAACAGATTTTGTGAGTTTCGAGACTGGGGATTCCTTCACAGGCGATGTGAACAATCCTCTTTTACAAAAGTCGGGAGTCTTTAATGATGGTGGGTTTCTCTTGGGAGGGGGAGATGCCAATGCAGGGGAGAAGGCCGGAAGAGGAGGGTGATTGTTGGTTTGGTCTGCTAGTGGAAGCCCCTTCCCGGGCGTCCCCTTGAGATCTCTGGTCCTGGCTCTGCGCTTCGCCATGGCGAAATCATTGCAATATATACCATCATTTCATTTCCTTGGGTTTCATTTCCTTGGGTTTCATGAGTTGCTTCACTCAAAAGCCGCGGCAAACATTTGAAGCATCCGATACATCCGATCGAATCCGATCAAAAGATCGAAATTTCCGACGATCTTCAAAACGTGGCAAACGTGGCTAAAGCAGCCGTCGCGACCAGATCCTTCTTTCACATGCCTCACACAATATAACCGGTAATATACAAGAGCGGTAGCAAGGGAAAAGGAGCATCATTTTGCTATTATCTCTCCAAAGCTAGCTAGATTGATACGATCGATGGTTTGCGTGTTGTGGTGTTGCACACACTTCGTTCCACCTTTATTCTGCTCCTTAATGGCTTGTTTAGAGTTAAGATTACGCAAAATAAGCTCGAAATCAAGTGCAAACCGATGTGACTCCACGTTTGCCAGCGCACACACACAAAAACAATGTGCCACCCCACACCACCACAAAACTGGTATTTGAAAGAAGAAGTGGCCCACAACAACACGAAAGAAGACCAAGAACCTGCAGTTACTCAGTACTCCGTCAATACTGCAGCACCGCCAGAAAGGAACCAACCATGGCAACACAACAACAAGAACAGAGAAAACGAAAACGAGTGTGTCTCTTTGGAACTTCGGCCAATCCACCCACGGGAGACCAAGGACATTTGGGCATTGTCAAAGCCATTGCGGGTCTTAAGCTGCAAAACGAAGAAGAAAGCGCATTCGATGAAATTCGAGTCGTACCCGTCTACAGCCACCCGTTTGCCAGCAAGAGAAAGCTATTGGCGCCCTTTGACCATCGCGTACAAATGTGCCATGTATCCCTCCAAGGCATTCCCATTGTAACCATTTCTCCGGCAGAACAGGACATTTATCAAGAGAAACTTGAACAGCAACAACTACTCCTAAAAGGAGAATCAGCAGAAAACAGTATCAGCATTGGCACGGCCGATCTATTGGAATACTACAATCGACAGGATGACATTCCCACGGATTATACCCTCTGTTTGGGGGCAGATACCTTTTTGGATTTTACGGGTGGAAAATGGAGGAGGACCGAGGATATTCTGGACTTGATTCAAGGACGATTCGTCGTCTTGTTTCGACAAGAAGATGCTACGGACAGTGGCAAGCAAAAGCAAGAACAACAGCAACAGCCAAATCAGCAACGACAGCTCGAACAAGCGGTTGCCAAACTAGAAGGAACGAATGGAAGTGGTTCCATTCGATTGCTGCAAGTGCCAACCTTGGGAGCCGTATCTTCTACACTGGTGCGAAAATTGAGTCGAGAAATGAGCCAAAGCGAGGACAGCACAGGCAACACGAATGCGCAAAAACTCACCGAACAAAATCAACAACAACAAATTGCCGAACTCCAGTTGAGAGAAATTGTAGATTCCAGAGTGCTGGAGTACATGAAAGAACACGGCCTTTACGGGTTCCAGAAGGATGCTTAGCTGCGGTATGTAGTAGCTCTAAAAAGAGGGAGCGATGCATTGATGCTGGTACACGCTACCCGTTCGGCTATGGTACGATAGCTTATGAATACCGGACAAACTTACTTCTGGCGACAACTTGTAGGACTACTTCATATTGGACTACAAATAGACTCGCTTGTTTATGACACCACCATGGAGACAAGGATCAAAGGTGGGAACACCCCCAGAAAATCTACCTGTGTTCGGTCAGAGTGCTTCGTAGCCTTCCTGGCTTGCTTGATGATTCACGGAGCCAATGGGTTTCTCGACCGTCCAGTCCATCGTGTCTGCGGTATGGTATCCTCCCTCTGACGAGGCTATTGTCCCCCAGGGTCCAGGAAAAAGAAAGCTGTAGAGAACTATTTTCTGCTCCCACCGCTATAAACCAGAACATTTACTCAAAAGTACTCCGAGTGACGCGACAACAATCTATTGCCCCCAAAACTACTGGTACTCCATCTGACATCTGACATCTGACCACCGAGATCTGAGGCCTCGTGGAATGGTTCCATTGATTGAATCGAATCTCCCGTAGCAACTGAAACTGTTATCTGGTACTAGCAGCTGGCTGGTAGCTGGTACCTGGAAGTACCGGTAGTCACTCTTTGACAAGGCAAGGCCATTGCCCCCAAAACACCGAATTGCATTTCAGATACTGATGCAATCATTCAATCATGCGGCTGATTGAATCAATAATTCATGCCATCCACTCTCTGACAAGGCTATGGCCCCCAAACACCAAGTTGGGTTCTGCATAGGGTAGGGTATTGATTGAATCAAATCTCGCTGTAGCTCTCTCCATCAGATTCTGTGCTCTGTGCAATATTGCCGAATTAATTAATGCCACCCACTCTCTGACAAGTAAGGCCCATAGGTACAGCCAAACTTCACAGTCCGCCCATCGATGATTCTACGGCCCCCACAGCCCACAACCCAAGACACCCCACTGGGTCCGCATTGCGTTCCGAATACATGTACTACAAGCTACTACACTACGACCTCCCGTACAGCGTACTCCTTTTGACTGTAAATAGTCAAGAGTATCCGGCTTGAGATCCGGCCTAGGCCTCACATGGAATGATTCCAATTGGATTCAACCTGCGCAGGCTATCCTCTCTCTGACAGGGCTATTGCCCCCAAACACTGCGTTGCGTTCCGAATTCCAAAAGCTACCGTTAAGGTACTCCATATGATTATATGAGGCCATAGCCTAACTACTGAAAGTCTAATTTTGTCCAATGTCCACGTGATGTCTAAGCTACAATTCTGAAGAATTAATACTTTTCTACGTCCCGAGTACGGTAGTAAAGCCAATTTTCACTGGGACATAGAACTGCCCCCGTTGTGATGATGCTTCCATAACTTGCCATGCATACCTGTAGCCTTGCTGCGGAGCACAGGCCGTTGTTAACTTTGGAATTACAAAGTCCCCGAAGGGATTAAGTTCTATAATTAGATTTGAAAACGGTATGTGATGGCCTCGCCATCCTGAGCACAGGCCACCACAACACTCACAAGATGCCCAGCAACTGGGACCAGCGGGTGGCTACTGTACTGCCGTAATTTGCTGCTCTGAGTAGCTGCTTGCTTGATTTATGCTGATGCTTCACGTAGGTAGACACCACAGCCTTCTGGACATGGTACACAGGACTCTTTGACCTTCTTGCTCCATTGGGATCCTGGTTGCCGGTGGAATTTGAGGCTTCGCAGAAAACTCAAGCCTCCTTTCCCCAAGTTTTCCGAACCGAATCGTTTCAAAAAGCCAAGTCAGAATCCACGAGAAGGTTTCTCGATCTCATGAGATTGAAGAGGGTATTCAGATCGTAGAGTGCCCCCCTCTACCAACTCTAGTAAACTGGTAGTGGCTACCTAGCCAGAGAGCCAAATGCACACGGCAAGGAAAGACAACTCCAGCAAGCGGATTTCGGCTCGTTGGTCTTGCCTCGATGGATGCTGTCCCATGTGCTCCATGTACCTGAGTACCGGTACCGCACAGGTTTTAGCTTACCACTCTATTCTCTTGAACCTGCCAACTGCCAAGGCGGTTGCCATGCCAATCGAAATTCGCACTCTGCTAACACTCGATTACTCGGAGCACGCTGCCCACTTTAACGCTTCCACTTCTTACTAGCATTAGAAAGGCTATTACAATAATATTTAGGTGTTGTTGTCCTTGTGCAGGTAGGCTTCTCTGAGTCCGCGGCATGGAGAAATTCTGTTTACTAGTACCAGGTCTACAGTACGCGAACAGTATGTACTGATTAAGGCTCATAGCGCACTCAGTACGTACTGAGTAGCTCTGAGTACTGGTACCGGAGTAAATAATAAGAAGGCTTTTCAACTGCACTCCGTAACTACTAGTACAACAGCAAGCAGCAAGCAGCACAGCTACCGCTGTAAAAGTTTGTCATAAGTCAGAAGTGCGACGTTGGGTTCGTTTACTGAGTACTCGAGTAGGTTTTTCGGAAGAACAGTTTGAAGCACAGCCGAGTTCCCTTCGCTTCGAGGGTTGTTCTTCGCGTGACACGAACCTTTTTTTCGCGGTCTTTTCCCTCTTATGCATCCAGCGCAGCCGTATTGTAGGTTGAAGGAAAGCCCAGGATGGAAAGAGGAAAGAGGCTGCTCTTCTTTGATGAGAAAGCGTTGTGAGAAAGAATCAATGAGAACATTCAAGCAACGAAATAGTCTAGGTGGTGACTGCCATCTTTGCTACATGCTATCATACATGTAGCATGTAGCATGTAGCAATGGTAGCTGGGTAGGAACAGCTATGTTAACTTAATAGTACTGGTGATTATGTAGATGTACGTGGCTGGAATGGCCTCTGGCTGCCTCTGTTTGCAAAATTCGCTCTATTGCAAAAGATAGAAGAGAAACAAAGCGTGGTGGTTGGGCACTGGTTTAAAAAATAAATTTACATGCATACCCTGCCACAGCAACAACATCGTACTCGTATCCGAACCGCTGGGAGCTCATGCTTCTTCGAAAGCTGCAAGCTGTGTTTCAGAGAGCTGTTTCCAGTCTGGTGCTCCAGCCAGTCAGGCACTATCGAAGTTTTCAGACATCGTCATCAACCAACCAAGAGTTACTATTCCTTGCAGCTCCAGTTGCTTCGTACCGTCTGTTGTCTACCATCGCAGGTCCATTCCAGCATTCAGAGCTTCCACAATCGTCACCCTGGCCAATCCAAGGCCTTTAGAAGGATACTCAAGGTGCTCAAGGTCCAAGGTGCAATTTGCAAGGATGGCAGATGGCAGTACCTTTACCATCACAATTGCACCCGTTGTGTCAATTACCAGAGTAGCTCAGAGTCTGGCTGCTACCGGTAGCTAGACAGCACGACAGCACACCTTTCTGTCACAGACATAGCGGACAAGAAGTGATCTTCAACGACGAAGGGCTGTGGCTGAAAGTGGTTTCTAGGAGTCGAAGAACACAGAACACTAGAGACATCTCGTGTAAAGAATGTACTTGAGCACAAGTCAGACCTGACTGTCCCAGTAAAGTTTTAAAATAAAAAAGTTTTGCGGATGCATTTTACTGCTGTTCCACTGTGGCACTCAAGTTCGTCATGGATCATACACACTTCTTCGGTTCCCAAAGCAACGAAGCGATCGATCCCACCACCGTACCGTTCACCATTCCATCCCACAAAAAAGGAAGCCAGGAGACAGCTGCAACTAGCTAGCTAGTAGATGGCCATACACATCGTAGCCTCGAAAAAAAAAGACGAAGAAGCACCAATACAACATATAAAACATATAAAAGGCATTACACGAAAATGGCGTCGGTAATCAAGTATCCAGGAAAGCATGATGGTAAGGCGACGGACCTGCTGTTTCTGTTCTCACTCTTCCAAGCATGTTGCTTGTTGCTGAGAAGGGCCTTAACCTAACTCGGTATATGCGTCATGCGTTTCATATAGTCATGCTCGGGCGGGGTGGAGAGTCAAACTACCACAGGTATGATGATGCTCAAGGCCCACAGATTTCCGTTGCTTCCCATCGTTTACCACTTCTCACAACCTTAAAACCACGTCTTCTTCTTCCTCCACCCGCAGCGGGAACATTGCGTTCCGCCACATGGTGCAGCAGTACAAGGAGCGTTTCCGGTTGGGATCCCGCAAAGAGAAGAATAGAGTCATTGATGAAGTCGTCAATACATGGAGAAACCAAGACCCCATTGGCCGTTTTGTGGCCAAGAAGAAGCTCAGCAATGGGGATGTTGTCTGGTACGACGTGGGAGATGATCTTGCAAGGAAACGGGCGGCCAAGTCTTTGGCAGAGTGGACTCCTCAAGCACCCCAAAGCTCCCAGCATAAGAGACAAAGGAGTGATGAAAGTTACTCATCAGTGTACAAATCGAGGGAAACAAAATCAAGTCCACTAAAGAGGTCAAGGTCAACTGGAAACGATGGTAAGTCCAAGCTTTCAGCAAGGATTACCGAGACAGTTCCGTCAGATTTTCAGGCTGCCCATCCCACACTTCAATCAAACTTCTAACTAATTTGTGCTTTTCTCCAGATGCCCCGTCTACAGGCCTTCCTGCGACTCCAGTGAGCAATGCAAACCCTTTCAACCCACTGCTAATGGGGTCTCCAACAGCAGTTGGTATGGACACGAGCAGCTTTTTCCCAAGTCAGCAACCCCCTCAACAACCATTTCCAGGGTTGCCAACGCTCTCACTCCCACTGCCACAGTCGCAACCTGAACCTCCATCTGATCTCGTGATGCTCCAAACAAGCACCTATGTACAACATCCACAAGTTAATGTCGCGGCGCAACTTCTTCCCCAAGAAGACCTAGTCATGCCAGACTTTTTGTGCAACGTGAACCAACTTAGCAACTTGAACATTAACATGGGTGTTCTTCCTCTTGAGCGCATTCGAATGACAATACCAACTGCCGCAGAGTTGTCCGCGGAAGCCTTCTCCTCGGATGACGACAAATCTGATCGCAGCCATGAGAGTCATGGTAGCAACAATACCATTACTATCATGGGGGGCAATAACAAGTAAGTAAGTCGAAGCAATTCAGCAAGCATTTTCTATTGTCCCACACCCATTGCAGCATCTGACGAATCAATGCCTCCTTCCAATGTGATGTTCAGGGGCTTCTCCTCCAGAGTTTCCGGCTCGGGTTCGGCTTGGTATCAACCAGATTGGCAAACCTGGCTCAGGAAGTGAACTCGAAGACAGCTACTTGTTGATGGTGGCTGCTCATCTTTGGCAGACTGCTGTCTTTGGTAGACTGTTGTATCTAGCTACTAGCTACCTACTAGAGGCGATAATGTTGATTGATTGGCTTCCAACAAAGAGCACAAGTTTTGGGCAACCCTTGCCTTGGGGAGGTTCGATACTGCTGCAATCTTTTAATTCGTCACTGCACCGCACACTTTGTGACGTGGCGAAAGAGGGGAGGACCACAACACAACACCTACCTTATGAGAGAAGCCAGAGGACGTGCAAGAATCGCTACACGTGTACAGTACCGTACCGGTACGAGAGATTGCTCCAGTAAGAAAATAAACAAAAAGGCTTTGGGTTATACGGTGCAGTGTACCAGTATCGCTATTGTTCCCATGACAGCTCATACTTCGTACCGCTAATATTTTAAATATGTTCAGTCCACGTGCCTGCACCAACATAGCAACAGGGCAAGCTGTGTGCTGTTCCACTGCTCGTACAGTATTACCGTTTTGCTTCGATGCCTTCCAAGGCCAAAGAGCATCAGGCAATCCTATTGTAAGATCAGAAACTCCCTCATGACAGGAGGTCTCGCCGATTAGCCAGCTTTTGGCATCCCGTTAGAGCATCTGTAGCTTGTTTGCATCGAAATGGCTGTGTGTGATGCAAACTTCAAAAATTGATGCCTGGCTAGATGCCACTGCTGGCTGTTCCATTGTCTTGGTTGACAAGGGATTTGGTTTTGCTAGGTAACGCTACCTGAAGAAGAATGACATCTTCCTCTGGAGCAATCTCCGGGCTTGATCGCGACATTGAAATTGTGCTCAGTGGCATGGCGTCAAAACTTGTTCCATCAAGCTCCACAAGAAGCGAGCCCATGTATGTCTCTACCCAACTGTATGTTCAACAGTTCGCCCATTTTAGCCTTGTTGTGCACCTGTAGCGCTGTTCGTGTCGTTGGGCTACCGGTACCCCTGCTTGAAGTGCCTTTAGGCTCTCGGGTGTTTAACACCAACCTGCCCACCAACCATGCAGACGGAATGAATTCTTCAGGCGGCGTCATGTTGATCTTGCGGCCGCACCAGTGTATTCAGGTGAGCGAGGTACATGAATTCATCTTGGTATCGAATGCCGCTCGCCTCGACAGCAACCAAAGTGAAAAACAAAGATATCCAATAGTGGGAGGTAGACTAAGCAACGTTCTAAATAAATTTGCCAAGCTAATCATGCTGGGGCTAGGATGTCCTGTTGGAGAGCTTTTTGGAGCGAGTAGGCCCATTCTTTGCACTCACAGCATCAGTTATGCATAGGCTATTATAATATTCTCCACCTTTCCTTCCCTCCCCCGGCAATCTTTCTAGACAATGTAGGTGACTCTTCAAGCATTAAGTTTGACATCCTTCAAGGGAAGCGTTCTTCTATTGGACCTACGCACCTGATGAGGTTCACCGGTTTCCAGCTTCTTGCCGCCGACCTGTGTGTTGGGCAGAAGCGCGAGTGTTTCGACTTACGGTATACCGTACCGTACGGTAGATTCGAATCGAATCAATCGAATCGAATCAATCGATTTGTGTAGGTTGACACTTACTTGTTGGCACGCTGAAAAGGGTGAAGGCTGGCTCTAGCTCTAGCTGTGCACAGCTTGCTTGACCAACATGTATTGCTCTTTTGTAAAGGCCAGACTGTGCCCTCCGCGAAGTGCCACTGCCAAGTGCCAAGCGTTGTATCGGAGGTCAGGAAGAAGTTGCCATGCACTCTCTGTAATAGCCCGAGATGCCAGGAGCTACTAGCCATGGAAGGGCATGACGCAATCCAAATCTAGCGTACACGGACAAATCCATTCTCGTCATCATTGCAAAGTACTTTATCCTAGCTACGGAGACGGTACGAAGGCATCTTGCGTGGTGTTCCCAGTTGTCATCCGACCGCATTCGATGCCTCTAACACTCCTCCACACGAGCCAACCAGGACCAGGGCTGGCTTCCAAGGCAAACCATGGAATGAACACTTCTTTCGGTGACTCCGGAGGATGGTTGTTGCTGCTGGTACTATCTATTTCCTCTTCATCATCGTGCTCCCCATTCCCCCTTTCTTTCGTTTTCAGCCATGAGCCATCCCAACGCTTGAAAGGGAAGCCAGGATATCATTCTTGCTGTTCTTTTTAACTGCCAAACGGCAACAGTAAGCCATGCAGGAGGTCAATTTTCCGTGGATTTCCTTGATGTCACTCCGCTTTGTGATTGCCATAATCAAGACGGATTGTCCTCCCGAAGCAAGCAAGTATTCACACATGCGGTCGTCCAAGTGGATTAGTTTGCTGGATGCATCAACTAGTCCTTTCGGAGGGTCGTTGTCGTTGTCAGCCACGACAATTCCTTCCGTCGGGAAATTGGCAATCGCCTCCTTGGCAGTAAACATAATTTGGGGAGTGACAAGACCATGACAGTATTCGTTGCTCCCACCTTGTTTATGTGTAGATTTCATGACCAATGTAACATGTTAAGCCTTCACATCAGGTGATCGCAAGCATGGTTCAATCAGGAGAGGTGCCGTGGCCAACAAGGACACAAAGACAAAGAGACGATTGGCAAGAAGAAGCCCAGGAGTTGTAGGAGTAGGAGTAGAAGCAGATTGTTTGCGTTTGGTAAAGAGCTTTGTCTCAAGAAACATCAAGGGTGCTTGACAAAGAAAGAATGCCATACAACCCAGATCGGCGGCGACGTATCCTTTGGTACCTGCCTCCAACAGCAGCACATGAAAAACGCCAGCAAATGCAAAGGTCATCATTGTGGCTGTAGCCTCATTACAATATGGCTGTTTGCAGAGAGGAAGGTATATGTTGCGCTTTAAGAATCCATGAATAAGTCGATTCCATCTGTAGCTCCAAAATTCCATGAGGCTGGTAGCCAACAGAGGGTGGTTCATGACGTCTTCAGTGTGCACAATTCTAAAGGGAGCATACCAGAGTCGATAGACAAACTTGAGCAAATTGAGTATGTAGCCAAAGGCAATGCCAATCAGACCGCATCGAATGTGCATAATACTCCAGTCCAACCAATTGCTGGGTAGCTGCAAACCCACCGTGGGGTATTCCGGCGACTGACATTCTTGACACAGATAAATCCCAATGACACTCGTCACTATTACCAAACCAGTCACAACAAAATCCAGCATGGTTTCCATGGGAAAGCAATCGGCAATGCTTGGCACATGTTTGCGTTGTGTAATGTTAAGGAAGAAAACAGTCCCGGCATAGTGTCTGGCAGCATCCATAGACGGAAAGTGAATGGCAAAGTCATATGCCTTGATAATGGCAAACAATGCTATGGCAGTGGCAAAGGGACGCAACACTTGTTGATCTTGTATTTGCCAAACCACTATCAGTAACCCCACTGCATTCACACCTGCCGCCGCCAAGGGTCGTCTCTGCTTGATCCACGAAAGTGCAAACAATGGCATCCAAAAGACCGTGGTAAACAATATGGCATCTCTGGTTGTGCGAGCCAGCACACAGGCAAGACCCACTGTGGACAGTGCTTCCACAATGGACACAATGACATCCACACCTGGAGCCACTATTACCTTCTTCTTCTTCATCTTCATCTTCATTACTGGCTGTTGTGGCCAGCCATGGAGGCATTGGAGGAGGCACCAACCACTAAAAAACTCAACACGTACGGTGCAACACGTGTTCCGCGTGAGACAGAGCCGTTCGTGAAAGATATTTTATTCATTTCTGAAAGATATTTCATCAAAATCCGGTATTTTGCCGTTTCTTCTTTTGGTGACATCACCGCTTTTTGGCTTCTGTTTTGCTTTGTTTGGTGTCATTTGTTCCGATTGGCAACCATGTTCTGAGAAGCTGAGAAGCCTCAAAAGAAGACCATCAACAGTGACAGTTAGTTCAGAGAGAGGAGAGTGTCAAGGGTCAAAAGGAGTCTCAAGCCGACTCTATCCGCACACGGTACACGTTACACGGTACCATAAATCTACCGTGTCCGTGCGGCACCGGACCAAATGGACACACGGTATCGGTACAATCTTTCAATCACAAAGTGGCACTCGGTATCCAATCAGATCGCACCAAGCAATGACGTAGCAGATCTTTTTTGCATGAATTACGTACTCCCAATATTATTATTACATAGATACGATCTTGTTTCATTGCCACTATTGCAATAGCATCGCTAGTAGAGTCGTTGTTGTTAGTTGGGCTAGTGACCATGGCAGGTGCCGCCGCCAAGTTCGCTGACTACCTGGTCCAGGAGTGTAGGTCAATGGTGGCTACACAATGCCGGGAAATTTGCATGGCTGACAAAGCAGACGGAAAGGATCTTGATGGACAAAAGGAATTGATGGGAAAATGCTTCCATGGATCGGCTGGCTATGGTTCGTGCTTAACCAATTTGATTGAAGGGAAGGGCGATTATGCATCGCTGTATGACCGTATGGCAATTGAGAACAATCGAGAAGGAAACGAGCTTCGGAAAGATGGCTACTCGCTGATTCTGCGAGACCTGGTTTCCTGTGATGAGGGTAAGTTCAAGCCGTGGAACATTTGTTGCCAGGATAGATTCTCATTCAACGTTGCACTTGCAGCAACCACATTCTGTGTCCACTCTAGAGGCTTTACGCGAGAGGCACTGGCCAAGACAAAAGGAGAACTTATTCAGGGAAGAAACGTCTATGATAGAGGCAACAGATGCATCGCCAACTACAAAACTGCTCTCAAATACCACGACGAATTTTGTCCAAAGTCTTCTCCAGAACCGTATCCTTCTGGTAAAGGCTTGGATGATATGTTGATGTATGTTCGACAGAAAATGTATATGTTGCTCAAGGGGGCAAAGAACAAAGATGGCGCAAGACGTGTGAAGAAAGATGCGGACAGTTTCACTGCAGAAGAAATGCCTGAGAAGTACA